GTATCTGACTGATTAGTCGTTCCATCACATTCACAGCGCACTTCGCTGCAGCCCCTGCAGTGCAACCCGTTGAAGACACGGTACAAGAGATTTCACTTTGTCGGGGAACAGAATTTCCGTTCTTAATGTCGGAGAAATTTTCTTAAATTTTAATGGCTTAAGTTCTAACGAAATTTCTATAGCGCAACGATCGTTTTCAAGGATTTTGCGCCAAACGATCGAACTAATGAGCGATCGATGAAATTAAACCTGAGTGTCAATCGCTTGTGGAACGGTATATCTCGTCTCACGATAGCAGTTAATTTGGAATACCTCATGATGCAGATGTAATATCTAATGCAGTGACTGACATCGAAAGGTTGAGGTGACGTTTACATCTTGTGCTGATTTGTAGATACCTTGGTCAGGCGATTAGTTACCTGTCGTCCGATTGAACTTAATTCCACGTTAAGCAGTAAGGCCAAGGTATATGATCGTTCCAAATTAATATTTTCGTTTCTGCATTGGACAGAAAATTTTCGTTGGCGTAGGTGTCTAAAGCAGGATCTAAGTTGCTTCGTATGAGAAATATATGCTTTTCGAATGCAGTGCTTTGCACATTGAGCAATATTTTATATGCTGAATGAGTTTTCGCCGTATGTCCGGGCTTTCGATGGATTAGTCAGATTATTTGTTACTTAAATTTCTATTGATCTTACAAACCACGTTATTCGAATATTATATGGCGATCGTTGACTTTCGCCAGAAGCAGTATTTTCAGCTAAATAATTATGACATTTCCATCGTTGTATGTTTTAGTATATGATATGTGTTTTTTCTCGAACATTTCTTCTTGTATATGCTGTTTTATGTGTAAATTTTTCCATCTTTATTTAACTATTTATTCACCCACCTGTTTGTTCGTATACCTTTTTGTCTATTGTGCAGAATATCTATTTTAAGTCCGTTTGTCAATCCATATACTATAGTATTCGATTGTCTCTGTACATATCCGTGTGTCTCTCTACCTTATTTTCTGTCTCTCTTTCTCTATGTCTGTCGTTGATCCACTGGTCTGATCATCTGGTTTTTTTACCGCCTGTTCGGTCGTTCTGACGACCTAGCTGTATATCTGCCTGTCTGTATGTTTGCACCTCTGTCTATCTTCTTTTTTGTTTATCTGTCTACCCATCCTCCAGGCTGTTCATCTATATCTAGCTAGTTAGTGAGATGGTTATCTATCTGTATATCCATTTTTCGTTGAGGCAGACCTGCTGGCGGAGAGGACCTTTTCCGCAGCAGTTATTGTTTTCTCACCATCATCTGAAGTTAACGTAGCTTAAGCAGTGCAGTACCGTTAGAAATATTAGGCAAAGTTCACTTCTGAGTGGCAAAGGTCGCGTTGCTCAAAGAGGTTTTTCTACGTTTTGTATTGTCCTCCCCTACGACCAGTACTCATGAGAGAAAAGTTTTGTGTGTTTCTTCTGTTTTGGGCCGTTTTATCAGACCAAGTCAGGCTCTTGCCACTGAACTTATTTGATATTCTTCTCATGCCTTGGTATTCAGCACCTTGTTGGTCATGACCCGGTGGTATCATCACACTTTCTGCAGCAGCGAAGATTGCCAAATATCAGAGATACCTTTTGTAAAGGTCAGATAGCATCAGTCCGGATTACTCGGCTAGCCTTTGCCGACGATGACAATAACAATGACAAAAAGTTTGAGGCCTTTAAAAATATATATGTAAGCGATTGAGAAGAATTTTTGTCGTAAAGCTGAATGACAGACAATCAAGGGTCATATATTATATTAATACCCACCAGCTTCTACGTCTTGAAGTCCAGTTT